CCGGTTTTTGATTTCCATCGGAGATTGCGTTTTCTATTTAAACGCCCACCCATAATTTATGTTCAGTTATGACTCGGGGGTTGCATCCGGCCACAACCCAATTTCGGTCATAATTTATGACCGCCTCTGTGCGCCAAGTAAATTTATTTCTGTTTTATAAATAACAACATTATCCACACATCCAGAGCATCAAACGACTGATAAAAATGAAACTCCCTCCGTTCCAAAAGAAGTGTCCAAATGGGAAACATTTTAAAATTAACACTTATGAGTATGTGAGGAAGCTTGTCCTCGTTTCCTCGTTTATGAAGCATGGCCAATTCCATACAGTTCTGCAATATAATGCAAACAATATCTAGTTTTTCCACAATTATTTCGTCACTTGCTTTATCCATGGCCGCAATGAGTTCAATACTGGGTATGGGTACTCTTGTGTTGCAATGATGGCGTTAAATTGATATTGAAATCAGTGTTGTTTGGTGATTGACAAATTATTCTAATGTTCCACCCATTTTCAGTATCAGGGCGAACAACTTCTTCATCATCAACAATGCAATGTGAATTAGCATTACCTTGCTGGATTTTGATTGGAATGGTTCTACTACCAATAAGCCATTTTTATTTTATCGCAGAAATTAATTTCTCTCTAATTATTCGAATATAGACTTTTTGGGTAGTTTTTACAATGACGACCATAATAATTAACCTTAAAAATATTGTCAGCAGGTAAAAAACGGAACAATTATTACAAAATTTTACCTGTTCATTACGAAAAGTATTATGACAAATGTGAAACTTCAAGAGGCTACTAGAGTCGCTTTTTCCATGCTTAATTTAAACAAATAACTACTGATACATTTAATTTCATTATTTCAATAATCCACTTAAAAACTAAAATCGGACACTTATTTTGGAACGGAGGGAGTTTAGAAAATATATTGAATCGAGATGGAAGATGTATATAATTGGAAATAATGGTGCGTTTATTTGGAACGTTGGGTGCATCGAATTTGGACTGTGGCCAGGCGCATCCACCAGTTGTTATTGGGTCAGACATGGAATGGCCTCATTATATAACGTACCCTTAGCATAATTGAATTAAAATAATTACGCGGAGGTTGCTCTTTAAATTGTTATTCAATTCCATTTGCACGAAAGGTGCAAAGCAAAAAACATATATACTCTTATTGCAAGAGGGAAAGTTACGAATGGCAATTGAAGTTTACTCGACAGTAGACAAAAGGTACTTTCAAGTGCGTAGTTAAATATTTTATGAATGTCGACGTAATATTGAGAGCATCTCGGTATCTTCGCAGTTTACATTTTCTACCAAACATCTGAAAAATGTTTATTTTGTAATACTTAGTTACAGAAGTTAAAATTAAGTACATATTTATTTACTTTAACTAATACTCCCTGTAACCATTTGTCGTCTAACGGTACTTATAAGTACTGGCACATTTATGTTACTATTTAAATTATAAAGAGACGTGAAACAGACCTATATACTTGTTTGTACTGTAATGTAAACTTTATATTGTATACACAAATGATTTGTTTTGCAATTGAAAACATCATGTATAAAGAGAATCCTGTATTTAAGTAATATTTGTCACTTCTGCATAGATTATTTAATTATTTATTGATACATTAATGTAAAACATATATTTGTTTGATAATTTAGTTTGTAAATTTATCCATGAAGTATTTAAACTTATATAATAATAATAATAATAATAATCTGTTTATGTTCATCAAGATTTTGAAATAACTTTGATGTTAAAATATCACGATTAATGTCTATAGTTTAACAACACAAGTTTCTATCGGTTTAAAACTTAATACCACCAACATGTGTAAATGACGTGGCTGCTGTAATGAGTTAATCATACGACCAAGATGATAATAACCCTAAATTACTAAATCCATCTAATGCAAAAACTTCGGTTACGTAATGATTACGCTCTTCGGTTACGGAATCATCACTAGTATCACTTAGTATCGAAACGCCTTTTGCCCATTAGCCATTAACATTAAATTAATCCGTTCTGCTATAATTTAATTACAATAATGCATTAATCCCGATGTTTTGATGCGGTTCAATTAGTGTTTATTATCCAATAACGTTACGTAAATAATCATTAGCATTTCTCAACGTTCAAATACATTAAGTAACTTGTATATATATATAGTTCGAATATTTTCAATACACCAAATACGATTTTGCATACTTGTTTCAATTGGATCCAATTAAAACAATTTAATTATAACGTAATTAAATTCTGCAAAATCACTGGCGTGTAATTATTGTTTATTAAATGCCTTTCTATTAATTACTTAACAATTATACGTTTACACGCAATAATGGATGTGTTTATTTAATGCAGAATTTATTCTAATTGAATTATCTTTCAATAATTGTAGTGGAATTACGATTTTATTTCTGTTTTTAATTCTAAAAAATGTTAATGAATAATTTTATACGTTTTTTTTTCCATAAATTTGGTTAGAATATTTATTTACAAATAAAAAATATTTCACAAAAATATATTAAGAAATATAAAGATATATTAATAAATATCCTTAAAGTAAGCATTTTTATTATGAAGATAAGTACAAATTATCGAAAATATAAAATATATTTTTTTATAAAAAATTGTATTAATTAACTAATTAATTAAATTTAGTACTTCAGTAAACTCTGAGATTAAATTTCAAATAAATCCTGAAACTATTAAAAAGCATTTGTAATTAAATATTTCAACTTCAGTTGTTATTAGTGATTTTTCAAAACGCGGTTAACCAGAGATGAAAGTTCGTTTCATTTTTATTTATTTCATTATTATTTAAGCGAATTTCACTTTGCCTTTGGCTATTTTCATTTTCCTTCTCCATATTTGTATTTCTATATATATATATTTTTTGTTTTTGTTCGAATTTTTGTTAGGAAACTTTTGCTGCGCTTTAATTAAAACGGCGCCATTAAAACTGTGATGAAATTAATTTGGCACAAAAAAAAATCTTAATTTATTCTGAATACAGCGGGACGTTTTTTGCAATGTGGACTGAATATGAAGTAAATATTACCTAATTGTATGAAGTACAATTTTCATATATTGTTTAATATTGCTTGTTTGAATAGTTTCATATATTCTACGTCACGTAATACTTATTTTCCAAATATCTACTATACACATCTCTAAATGAATAATGTTGAAATCAATATTGGTATAATTCATATTTTTTGTTGATAATTAATGAATAAAGTTATATTTTTGTTCACATACAATATTAACTAAATGAAAAGCAATATGAAAGCTCTACAATTTGCACAAATGTTATAATGTTACTATGTATACGAAAACTTGGAGAAACTATAGTTAGTATCGATTATGGAAGAGTGCTTTGCTCTAGATATAGTTCTTAAGGAACTTAGTCGATATACGTTATATCTACAATCTTCCAACTTTATGTTGTTTTCTCACTTTCTTTCATACCAAAAGTTTTTACAAACTTCATTTGATGGTTCCAGTACATATGTATTATATGTATGCATATTAATTAAATAATAATAATCTATATGAATTCAATTAACTTAAGTTTATATTTTTTTTTATTTATTATAGTATATTTTAGTTAAATAATATTATACCATAATAATTTTATCCTATTGAAATGTATTACTTTTTATATAAGTATTTGCATATTGTATTTTTTGATTTTGAGTAAATGTTACTACTGTTCATAGTACGTAAACTATATATTATCTGATAGGTTACAGTTTATTCATGGATTTGGGAAACATAAAATCAATGGAACTAAAAATGTATTTGCAAACTGAGTATGTTTTTAAATAAATTAGGTTTATACTAAAGAACAAGCCCTGTAAATAGAACTGAAATTTTTATATTGAACAAATTATGATTTTTTTTCTTCAAATGCCTACTGATTTCAATACATATATTTTTATTGGATTATTTGATTTATTTGGTATTATATAACTATAATTTTCAGTTATTTTCAGTTTTCATAAAAAAATAAAAGACAACAAACTTGTGTAGATGTTTATTGAAACTATCCAATTTAAGAGATTACAATAATTTTCATCTAAATTCATGTGACACATAACTCCTATGTTCAAATATATGGCTATTAATAACTGTACGACGTTCTGTTATAATATTTTTGATGGTCTAATATAGATTTAAACATTTTATATGATTTTTCTCTGATCCAGCGATTATTAGTTTTTACATATAATTTAAATTCTTATATAATCATTTTGTGCACAAATATTATCATTGATTTGGAAGAAATGATTCAAATGAGAAACGAAATATTTTATCCTCAAAGATGTATGTCTTCTAATAGTAGAATTTGGACAATAATTGGACCTCTTGATTTTATTGGTATTAAGTATGTACTATTATCTATAGCGTTATAGCTTATATAAGGATTTGAGAAACATGTAGCACATTTAGAAACCTATGTGTAGTTTTGTTTGGAAAGTACTGGGTCGATGTTTTGAATGTAACTAAGTCTGGAAGCAATAACAACAAGTGGTATACGCTGGATATGTTGTGCTCTGTTCTCTGGAACTATCTCTCCGTTATGATTATTCAGATTATTTAAGCAATTAAAACCTGCAGCCATCCAATATACAATGGAATGCAGAAGATGTCATTGTATAATCTCTGTGTAAAGTTGCTTATCCTGAAAACTCTTCTTTGGAATATGCGGCACCCAACTGACGAGGGTTTTCTCTAGGGTAATAGTTTTTCCGTAGATCTCGAGAGTTTTTTTGGTGTTGCTGTTAGAGCTGGTACTGGAAGGAGGAGTTGGCCTTTGTATGCGTTTGTGGGATTATTTGTTGTCATTAGCATTGAGCAACAAACGACGAAGACATGTCCATGACGGGAGAAAGGCGCGCGAGAGAGCGGGAAATCAATATGAGGGGTGAGTTGACGGGGCGCAGGCTTGAACCCCCGTGAGCCCAGCAAGCGGCAGTCTGTCCCACTCGGTTATTGCGGCCACACGACCCGATCTCTCTTTCTCTCTCTCTCTTTATCTCTCACTCACCCACTACTATCTCCGTTTTTAGTAACCATACAACATATACGTATGTTTATATGTATGCGTAGTGGAAATCACTACAGTGTGTACGTGTGTAATGTGCTTCTTCTGTCAACACCCACCGTAAACTGAAACTAAAGTCCGCAACAAAGCCCGGCAACGTTCGGAAAGCTATGATCACATCCATGTGCATTTAAACTACAAATGTGCCAATGTGATTTCCCCTTCTAGATTATATACCGTAGCTTCACCAACATCATCATCACAACAATCCACGTACACTAACACGAAACCATCACCACAGGACACTCTGAACATGCCTGATCACATCATCATCATCAGCACAGCATCATCATCCACGTGCACCACCGATCATTCATCTATACACCCTTTCTTTGATTCGTTCCAGATTCGTTGTAAAACCATTTTAGACTACAAAATGCGTGTCAGTGTTGAGTGTGTGTGCTGTGCCATCAAGATGATCGCCACGGCGAATAAGGATCTATTGTCGAGGATGTGATTAATCGATATTCTTTTTTTATAATTTTGTGCTTAAAAGAGAGTTCATTAAATACATGTAAAATATGTATATGTAAAACTCATGAAACTCCAATCTACAGGTCAGTCAGTTCCATTTTATATACATTTTTTCTACAACACGAAAGCGGATATCTCGGAATCGTTCCCATTTTATATAAAATAACTAGTTTCGAATGCAAACAGTTCGAATACGCTCTAAACACATTTGCGTGAAATCCCGTACTCTAATGAAACTCCTTTCTCATCCATTCGCTCCTCATCCTGATCTTCTTTTTTGTACTAATGATTCAACACACCCTGGGAATACCAAAAAAATACTCACGATATTTTCTCTTTGGGGAAATGTCAAATGTTTCATTTCTTTCCCCAATAATATTTTTCTTATAAAATATTCTATTGAACATTTAAAAAGTGGAATTAATTACATTATAATTTATAGAATAAAAATCTGACTTTATATAATCAAAATAAATTTATATCTTAATAATGTTTTTTTGATGTACTTAATTAATGACTTAAAAATGATAAATAAAAATTTATTTAAAAATTAAATTAATGAAAAAATCTTGAATTAAAAAATTGATTTGATTATATTTATATAATATGCTGTATTTTCTTATATAAATATTTATAAAATATGTTGTTTAAAATAATGTTATTACATATAAATTTAGTATTAAATTTGATCATTAAATTATTCTTTAACGCATTTATTTTAGATATATAAACTTCATAAACATTAAAATTTACGAGGAAAACGCTTAAACTTTTGCGTTTCTTTAACCTCGTAAAATATGTTTACATATACCTTGAAATGAGAAATTCGATCCTTTACATATTAAATTCTTTTACTGTTTACTTATACTTTTTAAATAATCCTGAAGATTCTTAAAACACGAAGAAGAGAATTTATTTGTAAAAAAATATCATTAATTACGATATGATTATAATTATATATTTATAACAATTATTTCTATAAAACTTTTTGTATTCAATCAAAAAGAAGTTCAAAATTTTATTATTATATCATTAGTTGTACAATACAAAAATGCTGATCGATGTAATTTTGCTAAAACAAACATTATTCTATTATTTACATCAGATGAATTAACAGAAAAAGCCATAATAATGATTCTTATAAGGATAGTTTAAGTTTTCCAACTTTTTTTTTAAATTTCAAAATTGCATTTTGTAATATAAATTTAGACTGAAACATACCTACACACTTTATTTAATCATTCTTTAAAACATTTTTCTTAAATAGTCACTTACTAAATGAAGAAAGAATTAAGTTATATGTTGTATTTTAAAAGATTAGATTCAATTAAAAATTCCTGCAATTTCCTTGTCGACCGACGCGAATATTTTGTTACAGCGGTATTACCGTCGAGTTTGCTTGAAAAAAAAATACGCTTTATGTAATAGCATAAGCTGCATTTGGAATTAAAGTGTCTGGAACATCGAAACTTCATCAGCGTAATGCGATGGGAGTGGATAGAAAATTTAAAGAATTGAATTGTAACAAACAACGGAAATAATTTTGTATATTAAGTTAAATAATGAATAGAAGGAAAGGTTTTTATTGATTAGTTCGTAAATGTTTCAGATGTTTGTTTTTCTGAATTGTATTGAGCAATGAAAATTTATATTTTTATTCAATTTTTTATATAAATTTCGATTTCGATTTTCGATCCGCAAGACATCAAGCTTATTCCGGTATAGTGATAGTTTTTGTGAGTCAAATTGTCCAAAATCAATTGATCAATAAAAAAAAATGAAGAATTCTAATGCATTGAAAAAGGAAATAATTTATATAATAAGTTAAATACAGACCTCAACCCTTAAATTTATTGTATTTTGTATACTAATTTTGAGCGGAAATTGAACTGTCATAAATGTTTACGTATATATTAGTCACGAGTTTTGTTGACTCCCGGTGCTTCTTCCAGTAGAATGATAGTTTTTGTAAGTAAAAGTAGACAAAATAAATTCATCGATACGGATAAAAAATATGAAGAATTTAATTTGTATCAAGGTAAATACTAAGTCCAATCCTTATATTTATTGTATATACATTTCCTGAAGAAATGTTTAAATATTTTGTACATTTTAGTCGATATTTTCGATGGCTTCAGGTGTTTCTTCCAGTAGAGTAGTAGTTTTAATGATAAAAATTAACAGAAGCTAATTAATCAATAATGATAAAGAAAATCAAGAATTCAACAATAAAAGCAATTTAAATTAAATATCAACTTGAATCCTACTGTATTTTGTATACCAATTTCACGTGGAAATTCAACTGTCAGGAATATTTAAGTATTTTTTTTTGCTATTTTAGTTTGTAAACTTTTCCGACTTTTAGTCACGATTTTCCATGATTTCCGGTGTTTCTTCCGGTAGAGGGGAAGTTTTTGCGAGCCGAAATCAATTAATCAATGTGGATATTCATCGTGAATATAAAAGCTAACAGGATTTCAGGACTGTTTATAAAATTCGTTGGGGGATGAATATTTTTTGTGGAATACAACAGAAAGGCATTTTGTATTCACGTAACGTCGCCATCCTTAAGTTGATCAATAAAATCTGGATAAATGGTTTTGTTTTTCTCCTTTGTTTTTTTTTTCCTATATAATATGCAAGAAGTTCTCCGCTCTGTTCCGGCATGATGCGATGCCAAGAATTTGAATGCGAGTTAGGGAATTCCAACTGAAATCATTATTATTTCTACATTTTAATTGCAATGCCAAGGATTCTTCGTCAACCGAAATTCATTCCAAATTGCTTATTCCGCTATGCATAGTTTCAGGCAGTTTTAATCTAATGGACAGATGTTTTATGCGTTCCATTTATCATTGCCAATTGATAAATGATCTTTAAATTGAATGCGAATGTCTGTTTTCGCAGCATCAAATGTTAATAAAAACTCAATAATTGATATTTACTGTACGTTATTGGAGGTTAATTTGCCAAATAAATATTATTCATTTACCAGACGAAGTTCAGTGTTGCTACGTGTTACCGTAATTCGAGAAGTTTTCCAGGGTGTAACTATGCTGAGAATCTATAACTTCCATACCAAGTTTCAATACTAAAGTTTACCTTCGATTACATTATAAAATAATGCTTACTTAAAATATACCTTAAAGTTTCCATTCATCTCATTACTGATTTATTATATAATTTTATTTTTTTTATTATATTTACTTTAATATATAATAAGAAATTAAAGGTTTAATTAATCACTTTTTATCTTTTATATATAACTAGTTAAAAGTTAATAAATTGTAAGGATCAATACATTTTGTAATTAATTGCTTTCATATTTAACGTAATAGTGGTTAATAAAAAAATGGAATTAAGTTTTGCGATAGTTAAAAAAAATGCTGCATTGGCATTTTATTCCATTATGTGACAAGCAGTCGATATTACTGTAGAAATAATAGTTGAAGTCTTGGGATGCTTGTCGAATTCAGTCGAGTTCACTGTCTCTAAAGTAATTTCAGTTTCTCGACAGAGAAAATATTTGTCAGTTCTCCAATAATACGATACAATTCTTTTCAATTTCATTCGAAGCATCTTCATATCTGTGCAAAATGATAAACATTGTGACATACTTTCCGAATTTCTCTTATACTCCTGTTTCATTGCTTTGTTTCTATGATTTCGCTGAAAAATGTGAATTAAGTATATATATTAAATAATTTCAGATATACTAATCTATTGGAAAATGTATAAAATACATGGTATTCGGTTAATGAACATAATCAGTTCACAAAGGATATTCGCTAACCGAATTGTTCGTTAACCGACCATTAACTTAAAATCCGAATATGTGTTTTTTGTTGAAAATAAGAAAATCGCGAAAATTGTCCGATTTTTTTGCTGTCAGTTCATTCACTGTATTGACTTGGGTTATTTGCAAAATAATGCGATATAAAATTATTTTTTAAATTTAAAATATTTTATATAAATATTTCAATATTTTTTTACCATTTTTTGTGTAAGAAAATGATAATAGACATAACACTATACGTTATTTGTGACACATATATCTGATAATTATACTAACTGACAACTTGTCAAATATGGCAATATGTGTAATTTTCATGACAATCTATATTCTTTTTTCTCTCGTTACTCATTCCTAATTTTATATGCATTAGTAAGTGTCCAAATATTTTTATATCCAAATGTCATATTATCAAACATGTATAATAAATCAATTTGAAATAGACCAGAAAAGACGTTTTAGTAAACATGTTAATTTAATACTTGATACTTACAATTTTTAAGTAATATTTAAACGATTTTTTGATACTCAATAGTACATCTACACTACATGCTGAATAAAACTTAAACATATATCAAATGTATCACGTGTCAACTTGTCAAATTACGTAAAGGTTATCACATGTCATTATTATCCATTGACATCTACTTTTGTAATTACTTATCTGACAGTTGTAACAACTGTGAACTTTTGAATCATATTGTATCGTCTTTATGACACCTATAGTTATTCTTCTCCCATTTCTTATTGCCAGTTACTCCTCATATACATTAGTTAAATTATGCAATAAATATAATAAATTAATTTGAAATATAACAACAATTAACAATTTAACAACAACATATGTTTCCTTAAATACTGATTCAACTATATTTCGCGGTCCCCAAAAAGACTCGTGTGCCCCAAAAATTTTTATGGGTCCTATGAATCATAGCCACCATTTAAGTAGATGGTGTCAGGGGAGAGGGGTGCTTGACTGTCAATATTTTTTTTAACAATTTAACAACAAAATATGTTTTATAGTCCCAAAAAAGTCTCGTGGTCCCCAAAAAACTTTATGGGCACTATGGGTGCTTAATGGATAAAAAGGCCCTGACTGTATCTTATGTCCTTAGTGAGCATTGACAACTACTACTAGTAATTATTTACGGTTTTCGGATTATATAACAAGTTACTTGACATGTGACAAGCGACTTTTTTTTGCTTAAGATTATGATCTTGATAAAACACATAATAAATGTAACAAAAATCCGTCTGAAACATAAAAACAAATGAGAATAAATTTGCAAT